GCCCCCCCCTAACTACCACTGGTCTAAAACTGCACTAAAAGCTTAATTAAAATAATATGTTGGGTGCAGTTTTAATTAGCGTTAGTTAATTAGTCAGTTTGAATCAGGCTCTGACACAAAGTCTCAGCTGTGTCAGCTCAGATCTTTGATGTCGGATCTAAACTTTAGTACGTGTACTGTACGTTAGTTGTACACTCCTGCACCCAGTAATGATAGTAATACTGCTCCAGGGAGGTCAGCTGCTCTAACACTTATTACACTAAGATTCCTTTACATTTGAAAGAGATTTCAATTAAATACATACAAATAATTAGAAGTAAAAATGAGAAATTTTTCGTACACAGTACCTATAAAATAAGGTGAACTGAACCTTTACTAAACTGGCCAAGGTAAAAATATGTATGTTTACTGGTTAAAGCTGCTGTATGTAGTTTGTAGAAAACCCTGGACTTAGATAAAACTTGAACAGGTACAACCTTCAGGTCCCTCCCTCTGCTCTCTGTTAAGCTCCTCCCACACAGCACAGCCTGAGTCAGGAGCTTGAATGAGAGTGTGCGTGACTGCAGCTCYTTCARGAACATGATTGACACCTGTGAGACAAACATCTGGGCTTTGATTTGCTCTTTTTCTTCAGGACTGGTAGATTTGAACAGATGGCTGRAGGACCACTGGGAGGAGCCAGAGGACTTTAGTTTTTCAGAGATTATCTGCCTAATATCAATCTGTCAGGACACAGTGACAGTTTGAACAAATACGTATGTCTAAAATATATTCTTATTAAAGTTACAGACTGCAGTTTGAAGTAAGTCACTGTTCAGTACAGATTGGGTATGAGGATCAGGATTTGCGACCCTCTTTATAACTTAAGGCTCAATACTACTGTCAGCATCTGCACCATAGCAGAGAGCTATTGTGGAATAATGGCAGCTTTAGAGGCGAGGCTGTCTGAATTAGYAGCTCGGCTTCYCGCTGTTGAGAAGCCAACAGCTAGCCAGGCTAGCATGGAGCTGCCGAGAGTAGCCTCTCCTGTTAGCGGTCCCTCGCCAGATCCCGATCGGCCGCTGCAGCTAGTAGCTGGGTGACGGCCCGGAAAAARTGCAGTGCTAAAGCTAAACCTCCCGACGGTCAACCCGTTGATGTTTCTAATCGCTTCTCCCCACTCAGCGACGCTCCGGTCGAGTAACAGACCCTGGTTATTGGCAGCTCCATAGTCCAAAACGTGGATTTAGGGACTCCAACGGCCATGATTAAATGTATTCCAGGAACCAGAGCAGGTGACATTGAATCCTATCTGAAGCTACTAGCTAATGCTAATGGTAGGTACCGTACAGTCGTGATTCACATCGGTGGTAACGACACTCTGTTACGTCAATCGGAGGTTACTAAAATTAACGTTGCTTCGATCTGTAACTTTACAAAGACCATGTTGGACTCTGTAGTTTTCTCTGACCCCTCCCTAACCTGACCAGTGATGACATGTTTAGTCGCATGTCTTCATTTAACCACTGCATCCAAGTGGTGTTCTGAAAACAACATCAGCTCTGTGGATAACTGGAGTTCTTTCTGGGGGAAACCTGGTCTGATGCAGAGAGATGTCATCCATCCCACCCTGACTGGAGCTGCTCTCCTCTCTAAGAATC